CCATTCAGTGGTGGCTGGTGGAATTTTTTTTTAGCCATTTAAATTTTAGCATACATCCCAGTATGATTTATTATAGTATAACAAAAGGAAAACTATTAAGACTTGAAACATTTTAAATAAAGACAATTGTTTTAGCAAGTTCAAGATTAAGTTTGAGTATGTTTCTCACAAAACTATATATTTTCTCCTTTTTTTTAAGTTAAATAAAAAAAAAAAAATGTATTTTCATAATTCACAATTTATATATACACAGCACAACAGCAAAAACTGTGAGGAAAAAATTAAGATAATTTTCTATAACTACAAGTCAAGCTGCAATACCAAACCATATAAGATAGATAGATATACCATATAGATACCAACAGACCACTATACTAATCGCCTTAACCTGACTGTATATAAATACATACGGATCCATTCAGAATTAATAAACAGAGCAAAACACAAATTAAAAAAGCAAATAAAAACATTCTGATTTTGTAGAATTTGGTGAAAGCAGCTCAACATGACCAGTGAACAATTCAGAGAGTGTTGATGCCCATATGTACATAAACTCCACTGACCATTGCAAACTCCTATAAGAACACGCTTCTTCAGCGAGTGTCCATTATAAATCACCTGCCAGACATGCAACCATGCTGAAATGTGCTTGTGCAAAGAGCTATTAGAGAGCGCACACACACTATTTGTTTATTTGCACACTAATAATAACAGACTCATGCGTGTCTAATAATGTACGGCTTCTTATGTCATTGTAACCGTCTTTACCTCCATTACAATCGTCATCCATCAAAACATTACTGGTTGGATACTGGTTTGCTTTATTTAGCCCATACAGACTAGCCCTGACTTCACATATCTTATTAAAAGAGGTATGTTTGTTCCCACAATCACTGCACAAGTTAAAGGGATAGTTCACCCAAAAATGAAAATTATGTTATCATTTACTCACCCTCATGTCGTTCCAAACCTGTATGAGTTGCTTTCTTATGTTGAACATAAAAGAAGATATTTTGAAGATTGCTGGTAATTAAATAGTTGGTGGTTGCCATTGACTTCCATAGTATTTTTTTTCCTACTAAAAATTTCATTTTTGGGTGAACTATCCCTTTAAGGTTATGTATGATGACGAAAGCACGTTAGTGCTAGCCCGCCCGGAGACTGCATTGCAGTCCCTGTAGTTCGAAAAAAAAAATAAAAATGTGTATGGAAGTCTATGAGAACACTCGGGGTGAATCTTAGCCAGAGTGAAATCGCCCAAAAAGGGGTGGTACTGCACAGAACGTGACTTGACACTAATTGAACTATATATCCAGAGACAGAACAAACAGTCTAGCACAGTGAAAGCTAGCGTAACACTGTGGTTGAATGTGATAGAAAAAAATCCCTCCCTTTCACACTCTGGTAGTGCGTCGCCCTATCGCCCTAATGAAGAAACTGCTCCTGAATCCATTCATATTGTAGTATACACCATGAGTTTTAAAGGGGTCATATGATGTTGCTAAAAAGAACATTACTTTGTGTAATGAGATGTGTTTATGCGGTTTAAGGTTAAAAAAACACATTATTTTCCACATACTGTAAATTATTGTTTCTCCTCTATGCCCCACCTTTCTGAAACACGTCGATTTTTACAAAGCGAGGTGTGCGCTCTGATAGGCCAGCTATCCAGTGCGTTGTGATTGGCTGAATACCTCAAGCGTGTGACGGAAATGTTACGCCCCTTACCATACTGTGATGCCGTGTCCCGGAGCGATGAGACAAAACCAATAAAACCCATTATAAACGGGGCATTTGTTGCATCCAGTGGGGACATAATTACGGATTATAATGACTTATACTGTCTTTTTACGCATTGCGTTGCATTGCGCCACGTAAACAAAACCATGTCTGCATTTGTGATCGGAGAAATGACAAAAAACAAGCGCTACTCTACACTGCTCAAAACTCGTGTTTGAATCATCAGTGGCAAATTTTTTAATTATGAAAACGTCCTTACAGACTGTGAGTCAGAACAGCCGGCATTGTAGTCTACTCTCCCAGGATCAGGAAACAGTCCTCCATAAAATGCGCTCCACACATCTGAATATTTGGGTTGAACTGTTCTGGAACAGTGTTGTAAATACAACTTAACTACTGATTTCACTAACTGGTTAGTTCACCCAAAAATGAAAATTCTGTCACTCATGTCGTTTCAACCCCGTAAGACCTTCGTTCATCTTTGGAACACAAATTAAGATATTTTTGATGGAATCTGAGAGCTGTCTGACCCTGCATAGACAGCAACACAACTGAAATGTTCCCAAGTCCAGAAACGTAGCAAGGAGATCTGTAAAATAATCCATGTGACATCAGGTGTTCAACTGTAATTTTACGAAGCTATGAGAATAATTTTTGTGCACAAAAGAAAAAAAATAACGACTTTATTCAACAATTCGTCTCCTCTGCTTCACCCTGTAGCGGCATTTTGGAGAGTATCAGCTGGACGTAAACCGCCTACGTTGTTCTGTGTCAGCTGTGTCATACGGATACGCTGTTTTCGTTAAGATCAAATCACAACAACGTAGGAAACAGATCCGGCGTGGCGCAGCTGACACAGAACAGCATAAGCTGTTTGCGTTCAGTGGATACTCTCCAAAATGGCACCTGGGTGACGGTGATTTTTTCATTGAATTTTCATTTTTGGGTGAACTATCCCTTTAAGTGCCATTGTTTGGAGTCTAATTTTTTTTTCCTGAAGACCACACCTCAGAAACATCTCAGAAATGTTTGAAAACATGCTCCAGGATTGGAAGCTTTTAAAGGAAAGTCTGTGTGGAATTACCACAGACAATGCAACAAATATGACGATGGCCTTTTCAGACTTCCCTTGTGTTTGGCTCACTTGTTTTGGCCACAATTTAAATCTGACCACAAAGCCTTGAAGATCCAGATCATGTTGATTCAAGGATTTTCTCGGAGTTGGAAAAGGAAAAGAGAATAAAAAAAAATAAAAAAAACAGGCAGACCTGGAACTCCCTGAGCATGCCCTCATCCATGATGTGATAAGATGGGGATCAACTTTTGAGATGATCTCCAGGTTTCTGGAGCAGCAACAGGCTGTCTGTGCAGTCTTGGCTAGTGACAGGAGTACATGGCATTTCATGCCAAAAGACAGTGACATTGCCATACTTGAGAATGTCAAGCAGGTCCTTCAACCGCTCAGTGACCTTACTTATGCCCTGGCCTCGAAGAAACGGGTCACACTGTCTTCACTCACACCAGTACTGGAGCACACAGGCAGTGAAATCCTCACTGAGCAAGCTGAAGACAACCAACTCATCAGACAGATGAAGCAAGTAATGAGAGAAGACTTGCTAGAAGTGAGATACACAGAGCGAGTGGAACGAGTGCTACAGGTCTCCAGCTTCAGGGATGCCCGATTTAAGGGAAGCTTCTGTAAAAACCTGGATGACACAGTTGAGGCATGTGTGGAAGAAGCCGTGAATCTTGCAGAAGCAGTTCCTTTATATAGAGAACATCCTCAAGCAGAAAGAGGAGAAAATGAGGCAGGAGAGGGAAGCAGTAGTCCCGCCACCACTAAAAGGAAGCAAAAAGGTCTGTCTGGTTTGCTAAAGCGAATTAATTCATCTAGGCAGAACTAGGCAGCCTCAGAAAATGATAATGTCTGTGATAGGGTGCTGTCTGAAATGAGAATGTACAAGTCTCTTGCTACCATCGCCACTGATGCTGACCCTCTGGCTTGGTGGAAAATGCCTGTTGAAGAAATGCCTCTCCTGGCAAATGTGGCCAGGAAGTATCTCTGCATCCCTGCCACAAGTGTGCCTTTGGAGAGGATGTTCAGTACAAGTGGGCACATTCTCTCACCTCAGCGGTCAAGATTGAGTCCTGAAAATCTCAACATGCTTATATTTCTTCATCACAACCTGGACTAAAAAGAAACAAAGAAATACATGCTGCTGAAAAACAATAACAAACATGGTTTTGCAATTTTTGCTCTCCCATTTATGCTGTTTAAAAGGAAGGACAGTTTGGTTAATTTTTGTCTAACTACATTTTTTCAAAAAACCTTGCTGCTTTTTCCCTTCTAATTTAATTTTTATTTTTGAAATGTTCTTTCTTTTTTTTTTTTAAATGGCAGATGTATTGCTTTATTTCTAATTGTTTTTTAATTGATTTATTTATAATAACTTTTTTCAGAAGGGAGACTTCAATACTTTCATTAAAATGGTTTAATGTTTGTTCTAATAAAGGATTTGTACACTCAAAAAACTTGTTCTTATTCTTTTAAGGGTCATTGTTTAATATATACCGTGAAACCGTGATATTTTCTGAGACGATTATCATACCGTGAAAATCTCATACCGTTACAACCCTACACCTTAACACATCTTATAAGTTCTTTGTGAGTTATAAGCTAGTAAAAAATACACAATATGTACATATATACAAGTGCATTTAGCACAGAACACAGCTTTGTTTTGGAAGTTGGGTAAGTCTGCAAAAAAGGCATTATAAAAGCTGTCCAATTTGGTTGTCAATGTATCCTTATGCCTTTTGTTTTGTATCTTTATGCTTGGTTTTAAAAATGACTGTGGATGCTAAGCGAACTGGGACTAAATATATCTAAATGTATCTGACCCATTTGAATTCTACACAGAATATTCTATTTTAAAGTGCTATGGAGAAGGTCAAACCTTGCAAAATAGCACTAATGAGTAGAAAAAGATTCAACACTGGTTCCATAAATTACAAGCTTTTAAAACCACACATCAATATTATCAACATTACTAAAAATTATCATCATTTTACTCTAGTAATAGTCCTGTCAATCATTTTATAAATGTGCAGGGTTAATTGTTTATTGATTGTCTACTACTAATAATAAAATAATAACAATAGTATAGGCCTATACGCAATTCTAAAACAACCTCCCAACCCACAATGGTGTCTATCTGGTTTAATAATGCACAATTACTTTATTTTTCTCCTAGTCTCACAGGCGATTCACATGAGCATGTGGTTTGCAGCTCATTGATTGAATTCCCCAGTGACGATGACTCCATTGGCTAAACAGAGACAGATAGATGGACACTGAGGGGGAGAGAGGAAGAAAGGGATGGACATTAATGATCTTACCAAACAGCAATCAGGAATCAGTGAAGTCACTAATTGAATACTTGTACAATAATTTTTTTAGGCAAAAAACAATCTAAGCAAGCTTCCAGCAATCAACCAAATCCCTAGGGATGTAATTGATGCGTCAAGGTCTTAGTGTCTAAAGCAGGGGTTCTCAAAGTCTACATTCAAAGGTCCAAATCTGAATTTTCATCAGTGTCAAAGGTCCGGACCGGAACAATTGATTATTACAAAACTTATTTTTAATAAACATACATAACATGCATAACAAATAAACATAAATTTTTGGAAAAAAAAGAAGAAGAAAAAAAGAGCCCTTTGCATTCAAAATACATTAATAACAAGTGCAAAAGTGGCGCAACAATTAATTTAAGTGTCAGCAATAGAGGTCGACCGATAAGGGGTTTTCTCTGGCCTATGCAATATTTAGAAATCAGGGCAGCCGATGGCCGATATATGATGCCGATTTTTTTCCCCCTTTATCTCATAAAAGCGAGTTTGACTAAATGATTATTGCAGGGCACAAGATGGTAATAGTAGTAATAGTAGCCTAATTCATAGTAATAATACATGGCTCAAAGCACCTTCACAAAACAGTTCTGAAGCATGCTTTTTGTTTATGTTTGTTGATAGACACCAGTGTTTCCCACAGACTTGCAAATGCAAATTCATTCTCTGCCAGGAGGAGAACGCTGTTGGAGCGGAGATATAGTGCTTTCCCCGGTAACGGCTGTAATCTAATAAACGCTGCTGCGGTCACAAACGCTGGGAAAGACGACATGAAAATGGCATCAAAGCTTTTCTGAAGACGGTCAGTTCTTTTCAATGATACATTCAAATAAAAACACCCGCGATGCATTTTAATTTTGAAACGTGCAGTGCTCATTTTATTCAACGAAGTAGAATCCTTTTGGAAAATCTATTTGTGGCGGTAAGTTTTGATTTTGTGACGGGACGCCACAAATAATTCAATGTATGGGAAACACTGGACACTGCTATAAGTGATGATAAAAATAAATAAATAAATAAAAAATTACTCATATTAGCGTGAAATGTCGCCCGATTATGTCAAACGTCAAACACTCACTGGATGTCATGACAACAAATGTCATGAAGGAAAAGTTTCACGAGTATAAGACAGATCTGTGGCAGAGTTTATGCAATGTACATATATCGTTTTCAACTAGCATATGCTGGTTAGGTATGTTTTGAAGCTGGGATGCTGGTTTATGCTGGTCCTTTGCTGGTTTATGCTGGTCCT